AAATTATATTGAAAACTTTTAGGAAAAATTGTCCTACTCTTAATAAAATTAATATTTCCTTAATTCAGAAAATTTATCTAAAAATGTCTATTTCAGGGTCATTTTATATATGAAAAAAAATTATATAAGAAAATTGTATGAAATTTTCTAGAAGTTCATCTAAAATTTCAAGTCTCTAGCTCTCTTATAGCTTCTGAGATCCTTGCGTTCATACATACGGACGGACGGAAGGACGGATGGACGGACGGACAGACAGACGGACATGGCTAGATCGACTCGGCTATTGGTGCTGATCAAGAATATATATACTTTATGGGGTCAGAGATGCTTCCTTCTGCCTGTTACATACATTTGGATTTTGCACAAATACAATGTACCCTTATACCCATTTTTTATGGGTTCAGGGTATAAAAATCAAAAATAGTACAAAAAATTTTGCATTGAAATGTGTAACGCATAGAAGGAGGCATCTTCGACCCCATAAAGTATATATATATTCTGGATCAGCAGCCGAGTTGACATAGTCTGCTTCAAGCTAGTTTTAAAAGAAAGGCCCTTTTTTTATTACAGGGAGTATGACGGAACCGAAACATATTAACGAGAAAATTTAAATTCAAATCCAAAAGGAAGACAAAATATTGTTATTAATTTTCCTTCAACTTTAACTTTAGGCACGCCGCAGATTTAATACCCTTATGGATTTGCAGATATGTGAAATTAGTTAAGCTTGTAAATGCTGAGCTTGGTGAAAATATCTTGGGATACAGAATAATTTCCCTTACAAAAACACATTTTTCGATAATTCTTTCTTTATAAGATTTGACTCAATTGAACCAAAAAATGACGAGTTTGCCGAAGATATCTGGATACCCAAAAAAATGTTTCAAATATAAGTAAATATACTTTAAAGGGATGGGTATGGCTTCTTCGATACGTCACACAATTCCTATTGAAAGTTTATTGGCCTTAAGAAGGGTATATAACATTGTAAAATTAATCTCAGAAAAGGAAAAATAGTTAAACATACATATGTATGCAGAGTGCATACAAGTGTGCTCTAGTCGGGAGTGCCCGACTATGAGATTTCCTAGGCTGCTCTTACAAACATTCTAGCTTCTTTCTGCACATGCAACATGCATAAAATAACACACACACCCACGCTACAAGCAGCGCACTTTGAGCTTTGAGCTGGGCTTATTCTTCTCTTAGCCCCACACTATAGGAAATGCGTTCATGATTAGGTTCAGTATTTATTATGTATATTCTTTATGCAATGTTCAGGCAATAAAAAAGCCATCCACAAGTGTGTAACTACCACAGCCCAAGACTATACCCCAAACAATGAGTTTTATTCCAGGAGGGAGGGGGAGGGGCTCCCATATGTATGAAGATGGTCTAATATACATGGCTAGATCGACTCGACTTTTGATGTTGAGTAAGAATATGTACACTCTTTATGGGATTGAATACACTTCCTTCTCCGTTACAAAGGCTTGCACAAAATCTTTTTAATCCATTAAAAAAAAAAAAAAACAAGTTATTTTTATTTTTTTAATAAAAATTCAAATTTAATTATTTGCAACTTTTAGATAAAGTTTATTACATCATATACAAAAATCAAAATATAATTACGAGTCTATTTTTTGAAGCTTATTACAGATAGGGTCCCTTGTTTATAGGAATATCTATGTGTTTCCTAAAAACACTTTTTCTGAGTGTATCGTGTACTTATGTACATATATATATGTACATACAAAACTTACAAATGTGTATTTTTATCTGGTCTGCTATGGGAAAAAATGCTGAACATGCTGCTTGACCTTCAATATCCACAGAAAGTGATAAGAACATTTTTGCACAAATCGTATAAGTTCTTTCTTACACCCTGTACTTTAAATTCTTTATAAATGGGTAACAATGGGTACACTGTGTAAATGTATTAATCAAGCAAATGCAGACATCTCCCACCCAAATAGCATGCATTATTATATGTATAATACATACACTCAAATTCAGTATCAATAGTCAAATCATCTTTTTGTATATCTGTATGAACGCGACCAAATTTTTTAAAAATAATCGATAGCCCACCCGCCTCCAAAAAATCGATAAAAATCGATTTTCGTGTATTCATTCGTATGTTTGTGCGAGCTCTTGTTACGGTTGCTCGGCGCTGAGTACAGGACATCTCCTACGCGAATACTGTCGACTAGAACACATATTTTTATTTTTGCTTTGACTGATAAGCTGAAAGTTTCCCACAGTAGCGAAACAAAATAATCCAATGAAAATATAAGTATGTATGTAAATATCCCAACCTGAACTATGTGCATGCGTACATAAACACATATGTTTATGTGTATGTAAATGCATATGTGCGATAAAAATTGTGTGGTCGCCGTCAAAACGCAGAGAATTACAAACATACATACACACTTACATATGTATTTTTAAATAAACTTTCGAATGTGTGTATGTATGTGTGTATGTACATACATGTTTGCATCTTTGAACATACTATGGCATGAGTACCTATGGAAACCGTTGACTCAACGGTAAATCTTGAGCAACTGCGGGTCTATATACGCGGGCCTTTGTCAGAATATGCCAGCTAAGAGTAATTAGTCAATATGCGATTCCCATTTCGATCTGCTGGTATTTAAATCATAAATATAATTATTATTTCAGGAATTTACATATCAGTTTGATACCAATAGACATAAACGGAATGAATGCGAGACCGCAGGCCAATCTAGAGTATGATAACATTTATCGCTAAGGCATAAGCACTTGGACTTAAAAAATTAATATAGATATGAGAATTACGCCTTGTCCCACTTGATTTGTTTACTTAGTATAAAATAACATAAATACCAATTGATAGTAAAATGAGCTGCTCGAAATCTAAGAGACAGAGAGGGAGAGAGAGAGAGAGTGAGTGAGAGAGAGAGAGAGAGAGAGAAAAGGAGAGAGCAAATGCTTACACGCATGCATACATACGAGCTAAGTAGCAACAAGCCGAGCTAAAGGCAAAGAGCGAGCCAAAGAGAGGGTCAGGCTAATTGGTCGCACTAAGGCAAACAGGTACAGGCTCCACCCAATGACAGATAGCAATGGGCTCCCCAGAAAAAAAGCAAAGGCATGTCTGAACCACCATGACCTACAATACACAAACACAGACCCACACACAGACAACACACACACACACACATTCAGAGGCATCTGTTGGCCAATCAGAATACGTTTCAAACATAACGGTTTGCGCACAATGCACAGGCAACCGCATGCCGATTGGCCACCGTCAACGCCGACGCAGAAGCAACAGCAAGAGAGTCAACGCAATTTCAGCTGTTGAAAGGGCAATTGCTGAATACGAGTCCAGAGAGAACGTAAGAGAGAGCCGCCAAATAACGTTCACAACTTATCACAGCAGCAGCAACGGCAGCAGCAGGGTGTTGCTGTTGTTGCTTTCACTGTTGCTGCCGTTGCGTCGATAGTGATGACGATGTCTGAATTTTGAGCTCGGCTCGGCTGGCGGCTGTTCTATAGGTTAAGTCGCCGCTGGTGGCCACGTTAGGTGTCAGTAACAATTTAGTTCGACACGCGGACGCACCTGTTTTTTTTTTTACATATTTTGTTTGTTGGCAACATAAAAACCCCCAGATGCACATTGCTTTTAGCGAATTTGCCGTTGTGTGTGTGTGTGTGAGTGTGTGTGTGTGTGTGTGTACCAGTGTAATTAGTTTTTTAATATTTAATTATATTTATTGCAACTTATTGCATATGACCCAGACATGTCGGAAAGTAAAAAACGCGCCAAAAACCAAAAACAAATTTCAAATGACAAACTTATTGGAAGTTAGTTTCGATTGAAAACAAAGAACAAAAGCAACAATAAAAGTTGCCGCCCATGTAAATGAAACCCAATGGTCAACTGTCAAAAGTCTTGTTTCTTTAACCGGTATACTGTTGCTGATATAAGCGTTATTATTGTTGTTGACAAAACGTTGCAAAAATAATAATATTTCAATAGCGGCATAAACATAAACAATGAATTGACTGTGCGTCACGGAATTGTTTTTGCTGTTGTTGTTGCTGTTGTTGTTTTCAAAAAAGCGCGAAAACTTCGGCGAATCGAAAGTTAATTCATTGAATTTGATCGTGCTCTTTATTTGTGTGTTTGACGTATGCAGCAACAACAGCAGCAATGAAAAGCGAGAGTTTTCCGCACTACCAACAACAGCAGCAGCAGAAGCAGCAGCAACCTTAACTGTAACGTCAAAAGCAGCACAGTTATCAAACCTGACGCATGCCAAGCAAGAATAACCTTTTTTTTTTTATTAAAAAGCAGAAAAGTGTTAATTTGTGACTAATTTTGATTCGGGAGAATCAGAGAAAAGTTATTTAAAATAATCAAAAATAAAACAAAAAGAAACATCAACAACAACAGCTGATGCCATTGCAGCCGCAGCGCCTAAGAGTAGGCAATGGCCACTTAAGGTCTGTTTGTTTGCTCGAGCAGGGCGTGCGCCAGTGGCTGTGTGTGTGTGTGTGTGGGTGTAAGGAAAAGGGCATATAAATGAGATAAAGGAGATGACAAGAAGCATAGTTGGCAGTGATAAGAGCACATAAACTGAAACTGAACTAAAACAGTGCAATAAAGGGAAACTGAATCGGAAGAAGCAGCTACACCCGCACAAATCCCATCGTCCGTCAAATTGGCGCCACACAACTTTGAATTGCATTCAGACCGCATGCATTTCCACTTACCCAGCGAAGCGGCAACAGCAACAGCAGCGGCAGCAGCAGCAGCTACAGCATCTACGCCAGCAGCAGTTGTGGGCAGCAGCAGCAGCAACAATACTTTATATACGGGCTCGACAGCAACAGGAACAGGAGACGTCTCAGCTGTGGCACCCGTCAGCATCGCCGGCCGTCTGGGGCGCAACATCTGTAGCGGCGGCAGCGGCAACGGCAACGGCAGCGGTAGCAATCGCAGCATGGTCACATCGTCGGCGTCGCCAACGGGAACGGGCTGGTCAGCGCCAGCCGATTACAAGAGCGCCACCACGGCTGCCGCAGCTGCCGCGGCGGCGGCTGCGGTCATGTGCGAGGTGATACCATCGAGCAGTGCCAGTGTTGGCAGCAGCTCGCCAACAGGTGGCGCCAGCAATGGTACTGCCAATAGTGCACACAGTGGTAGCAACAAAAACAACAACAACAATAACAACAACAGTCGCAACAACAATAACAATAACAGCAACAATGCGGTGCATCAGGATCTGTTGTGGATGGAAAGATTTGTGCTCGAAAGACAACAGGAATATCCAGGAGAATTGGGTAAGCGGCATCCCACTTCCAAAAATAGAATTCCTTCCAAAGCAAATTATCATTTCTGATTGGATCGATTTGTTTATAACAATTTCATTTAGTTTGGTAAAAACAAACTCTACTCTGCACGTAAGGTGTCCGCTGCAAGCAAAACTCAGGTCAATATTTAGTCCGGGGCTCTTGCGAAAGCTTTAGCGCGTGTCAATTATCCAGGATGGGGCTCACGAGATATCTAACACTTTTATGGCTTTATGTAGATGTCGATGTCAATGTTATTCGATGATGCGAAGAGAATGGGAGTAAATTGATATCAGCTATTGGTTTTGATATCAACGCACGAGTCTCGTCTTGTTTTGCGTCTTCCTCTTTTGGTCCTCGGCTTCGGCAGAACATTTCATTGAAATCCATATACCTTAGCATATCATTGACTCATTATGAAATCTCGGAGTGTTGACGTGCCTGAGAAATCGAGCTGTGCATTTTTTGAAAGTCTACCTTTTCTTCATAAAACGTGTCCTAAATTGGAATGAACTCTTGTGTGAGACAGGATTGCTTAAAGATTGTTTGATATAAACACTTAATTAGGCTTCGAGCCTCTACAAAATATCCTATTGGTAAATAACAGATTAAAGTCTACGATTGTCATACATAACAGGAAAATTGCAAAGCTCGTTATTCCACATTTTGGTGAAGATTTGTTAAGCAACAATATTAAGTCATACACAAACTCGGTTTACCACAGATTCGCCCTATATATGAAATATGAATGAAATAATAGTCTGATAATATGTTAAACTAAGAGGTTAGTGAGTCTAAATTTAAGAGTTTAAGATGTACAATTACGTGTAAGTCTACCAGGTACAGATGAGCTTATTTGGCTAGTCAACCCAAAGAAGTCGATTTCGCACGTAATTAACTTATGAATAAATATTATCACATATCTACGGTTAATCAAAGAGGGAAGATTTATTATCCGAAGTCTGCTAGAGTATGATGGCACCCGAACATCAGGATTTCTGTTTAGTCCACCTAACGCAAAAAAATAAGAATTGTTTCTTACAAACTCAACTGTGATTAAGATATCTTCAAAAGCAAAAAACCCTCTTTAAACTTAACTTAGTTGTTTAGTGTTCTTTCCTTTGGCAGCTATATGACACAGTGATCTGATTACCTAGTTAAGGTCGAGCTCAAACAAGATACTTGGCTATTGATGCTAATCTGATATATATACTTTATGGGGATATGTGTTCTTCTAAGCGTTTCACTAGATGAGATCGGTCATTTGCACAGAACTAATATGCGTGTTTTTAGTGTGTACAGGGCAAACCAGGGCTTAATTCAAGATATATATAGAAGCTCTACCAACAGGACACATCTTTTGAAAAGATGGCCTGCATTTTGTCCCTTTATCGCCTTTTCGTTGGATCTAGCTGCGGAATTGGTCGATAGCAGACCCTGATGATATAACCGAAGGCTTCTCTAAATAGCTATACAGTCAAATTGCTCACTCTTCCTGTTTATTTTATACATTGTTCTTGTTAGTCGTTATGCCAACATTGACCTCGAGATTAGGTGCCTAGAAACATTCGGTCATGGTATATTTATGGAATATTTATATATATTTTATATAAGTGAAAATATCCAGTGAATAATTTAAAATATGAGAAAAGTAATTTTAAAGTGAATCTCTGAACCTAGTTGAGTGGACCTTTTACACATCCACATGCAAGCCTTCGAGCAACAAATGGCCCTGCGACCTTTATCGCAGGTTGCCCTGCATCTGGCTAAACTGTCATCTACTGGCCCACATCGGGGCAAGGTGTCACGGCCACCCACTAATTAATTATGAAGCGCTCCAGCGAAACGTTGAAGTGCCGTTTAATGCAGATACGATTGATTGATGGTCACAATGGCCGCCAAAAAACTATCAATTATTCACCATATTTTGAAAAATAATAAATTAATGTATAAGCTGATTGAATTAAATTTTTGGTTTCGAATTACAGTGCGTACGAGCAATCCGTACTTTCTGTGCTCCGCTCTGCCCTCTCACTGGCGGTCAAATAAAACGCTACCATTGGCCTTTAAAGTCGTCGCCCTGGCGGACGTCGGCGATGGCACCTATGTGACGATCCGGGCAGGGAATGACGAGAACTGCTGCGCCGAGCTGCGAAACTATACCGCCCAGATGAAGAACGGCGTGGCCAAGTTTAACGATCTACGCTTCGTGGGACGCAGTGGTCGGGGTGAGTAACGATCCGCAGGGCAATACAGGATTTCCCTTTTCTTATGCTCCTATATTAAATATATTCATTTCGATGCCTATAAAATGGCTCTATCAGGTTCACAAGTGAGTGAAATCGAGGGACACATGAGCGTGTGGATAGGGTAGGGCATGGAAGGGAACTGGATTGATTAAATTTTAGTATTTTAATATATATGTGTGTGAATATTAAAAGCGTTATTCTAAATTTCTGCATACTTTTCATATAAGAACATAACAGTGGAAAGAGCTCGATATGGAGAGGCCCCAAATATAAACCCATTCCCATAAATCGGAAGCTTTTATTAAAGATTGCAAAAGATACAGACATCAAATATGGTATATAGGTGCTAAATATTTTCCTTTAATCTAAGCCGTAACCTCGTTATTCTTTCATTAAAAACAAATTTACACAAATATACATTCCATACACAAAAGCACACACACAAAACACATACTATAACGCGCAGAAACGTTTAAATATTAAATATCATATAAAAGATTTTATTTAATATATTCCTATTCCTGGATACACGACATAGTTTTCCAGGCGTTATATCGGACATAGTTATTTATTCTTAGGAGCACGCAGCCAAACTTAACAAAACTTCATCTAAGCCTATAAAAGTCTATGTTTTTTTTTTTATCCAAATCAATAATTATTATAATTTGAAGCCTATTGTAACTTGGTTAGAATATCTGAAAATCAGGAAAGTTGTTGTTATAGGAAATTTTCCGATTGTTGTATTGGGAGCTATATGATATATTTGTCCGATTCTGAAATGACTAATGTGACAAGCAAAGTAAAGTTAAACTGCCTGCAGCTGTATTCCAAATTCCCAGATGATATCTCCCAAGCTGAAAGTTTAGTTTGCATAGAAGCAGAGGAATATATAGACAGACAGGAGGACAAACGGAAAATATATAGAATATAATCTCCGCTACACTTGCTACATACATTTGTACAAGTATAATAAATCGCTTGCGTTTTGATAATAAGACTTGATCGGCTCCTTTAGCATCTTAAGACCAATTTTTTAAATATATGGGCTCTTTATCAGTGCAGAGTATAATAAAAAATAAAAGCTGGATTTTCAACCGTCCCACAAATCTCTTATTCAGAATTCGATGCCTGAGAGCGGAAGTTGTTAGGAGCGGAAACGCTCTGATTGAGCAAAGTAACGTTAAGGTACCGATGACGATGCCGATGCCGAAGCTGAAGCCGTCCCGGTGTGTTGACCATTGTGGATGCCACTAACACGCAGAAAGGATCAATGTCCAGCAGTCGTCATATTAGGCGGCTGCTGTTGCTGCAGTTTGCGCTGGCCCCGGGGTAACATGCAATACGGCAACGACTACCTCTCGCCCCAGCAGCCGGCAGCCCGCGAATTTACCCATGTTCGAAGCTTAGGTTCAGTCGGCAGCGCAAAGTTTGCTGCACATGAATACCTAAGATATCAGCATACCTTGAGCTGCTTGGGCGTCACGCAATGGAATAATCGATTTGAACCCACCATTAATATGGGATATGTTCATGAGCCTGTACTCCAGTCACATTGCATAGAATTTGCAGCAGCAGTTGGCTAATTAGCTGCAACTGTTGCCTGCTAGCCAGACTGCCTGCCTGCCTGCCTGCCTGGTTGGCTGCCAGCCTGCCTGCCTGACAGTCGGCCAGTGTGCATGCCTTCCAATTGACGGCTCGTGCCGCAAAGGGCAGCAAATAATTACTGCCCCAGAAGCGGCAACAACAGCAGAGAACAACGAGCACCAGGCATGCAAATAACAAGCTAATGATGTAAGAATATAAGCGCTGACCAAATTGTCAACGACAGCCCCAGTGTCGTTCATTTAATAGCGTGGCCCACGCCTCTGCCTCCGCCTTCGCCTCCGCCCCCGCTATCGCCCAAAGTGGCCTTCTCCATGACCCCAGCTAACAAGCCACATAAATTGCGAGCCAGGACACCATGCGGTGTTTTCTGATTAAATGACAAAGCTCATTTCGACCAGCAAGCGTGCAAAACAAACAAAATTTTAATATGTGTTTAAACAAAAAATTAAATATATACTGCATTCAAAAACTGCTCCCTTTTCGATTATGGAGGCGGACAGCCTGACAATGTCATGCGCCGAGATTTTGTGCTACTTTAAATTATGCTTTATTTAGATTTTAAATGCTCTTCAATGCCTCGTCAACTGGTTGATCGCAATCTTAGTTTATTAGACCGCCTATCAGCTGGCCATCTAAACCGGACTAATCATATCAAAGGACTCGATTCCAAAATCGACAAAAGGCAAAAGGATTACGAGACTCCTCTAACAAACGACAAATGAGTGGCACGCGCCGCAGCAATTTATAAGTCGTATAAGTTTTGCCCCAACGTTTAATTAATAACAAAAATTGTACTCAGATTTGAATAAGGGTTGGGCCAGGCTGGTGCCAACATCTCGCACAGTCATGTGACCGTTGGGTGGTGATGGGAAGGGCCGAGGCTGAGTCTACGACTAAAATGCACTGCCACAACTCACATATGTCTGCTGCCTGCCTTTCACATCTAATCAGAGCACCAGCTGTTTAATAAGATTCGCTTAGTAGGTGGATAATACGGTTGTTCATATTCTTCCTTGAGGAATTGTCTGATTTATTTTGGTCCTGTTCGCATTTACTTTTCTATAATCGCTATTTTTTAATCCTATTAGCCCTTCTCCCTCCAACAAAACCCACAAGCTTTTATTCTTTATGTTCTGCATCCATTGAAAATTCTTTCAAAGAAAGGGCGTAATAGCACAGGCAGAAGAACGCATTTTGGAGCCCGTAAAGCGTATATATTCCTTATCGGACTAGAAACATTTACGTAAAATTGATTTAAAAAAAACATTTTTGAGCATACCTATTGGCAACGCCAATTAAAAAATATAGTTTTCGGATCTGTCAAATTTCAATATATACTGTATATACAAATCATCTGAGTAAATCTTCATTACAATTGCGTATAAACTGTGGGGTCTACAGCAATATGATTTATTTTCAGTTTTTTAATGCAAAGTTTCTCTCGGTGTTTGTTTGCAATCTGTCTTAGCACAATAAGCAAATTTCTTATATATATATTAATATATATTACACTATAGATTGTGAATTATGTACTCTTGTTCACGAGATCCATAGCCAAGATATTTTATGATTGTGTAACCTATTTACACATCTGTTTATTTCATTTCTAAAAAAGATATTTAAATGAAAACAATTATTTTATCACATTTCTGATCTTCGTTATTTTGTTTGCTCGCCGATGCTCTAATACTATAACAGACATGTGGAACATGCAATTAATTCATTCTAAAAACTATTTAAAAGTTCTTCCCTGTATATTTTCGATAAATATGAAAGTTTTAAATACAAATGTAGACAGGATGAATCAGTTGAAGGTTATCTGAGAAAATTCTCTTCAAATTGTCGCATATTTATTCAGATGAATATAAGCCTTGCCCATTGATTGCTCTTGGCCCGATAGCTCTATTTTTCAAATTGATCGTCGTTACCAATTACTCCAACTCCGATTGCCCGTGTTGTAGAAATCGGGGTCTGGTGCCCATTGTTCAACAATACGTTTGATGTTGATAACTCATTTGGGTTGCATGCTTTGTTTTGCTTTCGTTGGGGCACTGATTACATTGCGATTGGAACCGCGAGTAAAACTGGTGCTATTATTATTATTATTATTAGTATTATTATTATTATGTTTTATCATTTACATTGAGTCTTTAGTACTCATAAGTAGTGCAATATTTTATCTTTACAACAAAAGGCAGACGCGTGTTCTCTTGTTATTGTTGTATACATATCCATAGATGAGTGGTTGATTGTCTTCTGGGTCGAGAGCATGTTGCTCTAGTTTACCTTACCAATACCCTTTGGCCTTCTCTTAGTATGTGCCAGGTACCACAAATGTGGCTGTGCTCCATTGAATAATGACTGCCAGAGAGAAGAAACCAAAATGTCTAGGAATCTCTTTAAAAGTTTTGGTATTCACTTTTGAATTTGGATTTTCTTGTCGTTATGTCTTTCTATTTCTTTTTTTTTCCTTTTTTGGAGCATTTTGATTAATTTGACTTCTTATTTCGATAGATTTGACTTTCAAACGCAAGCTCGGCTCACGATAATGAAGACATTTGGAGCCACTTCAACGACCACGTAGCACGCCAATACCTCTAAATGACAGGGGTCAGCAATGGATCTGCGTTGGTTGAGGACAAACGCTTTCTAACTGATGAGCACAATTTAAAGAGCATATGAATGCACGTAAACAAAGCTTTTGACTACTTGGTTTGCTTTTACCGACAGTTTACAAATTGCCAGGTTAATGAACCCCGGCAGTACAGATTCACATGTCGTACTACTGCTCTTATATTTAATGATTGGGTAACATTGGGTAAACCAGACACTCAGGGGTAAATCACTTACCTTTGACAACCTTCAGATTCAGTGACTATTTGTTTTATGCACTGTCCCAAGTTATATGCCGAATCCCAGTTAATAAAGTTGCGCGTTCATCGCCGTTGTCCATTTCTAGAGGCAGCTCAGTACCTCTGCACAATTTGGCCCTGTCTTCTCCCCTCAAGCGTTGATGCGTAGGTGCACAATCCTTCCATTATCAGAGGGGGAGGATGGATGCGACTGAGGTTTTGCGGTTACCAGAGAGAGGATTGATTTTGGTTCTGTTTATAGTTCTGCATTTCGCTAGTCTCTCTCTCTCTCTCCCTCTCACTCTCTCTCTCTCTCTCTGCTCTGGGACAACAAAGTAAAATAAACATTGTTGCTTTCGTGGATGTTTAAATATATGCACATATATGCATAAAGAACAACATTAAACTGGGTTTGTGTGCAGGTTTCTGTTACCTCGTATCTGTATGTTAACCGCCGCCAACAACAAAAATGGCGGTAATGCATTTGTTTAACTGGCAGACAGTGTGGAACAGCAATTAATGCCAATGCAATGGCAACTCGAAAGTCGACCAGCTTCCCGCACCCGATAATCGATTGCCGCTTGCGGTCTGTAAATCGATAAACTTATCAAATTCACCATTAGACCAGCCGACGCGACGCGGCACTCGCTTCAGCCATAAATAGTGTAAACATGGTCAAGCCCATTCAAAGAGCACAATGTTGCCCTGTTTCGCGCACCTGGCAGACAGGTTTCAACATTTTTATGACGTTATTTTTAGCCGTAAACGCGGCGCGGGACAATCACTTGGAGGCGGCCATCAAGGAAGGATCAACAAAATTTATGCCGAGCTCAAATAAATTGCGCCACGCAGACGTAAAAAATCCTAAATGTTTGTTTTTTCCGCACGCCGAAGCATAGATACCCTTAACCTAGTACCCTTAACCTATCTATTTACATTTATATATATGATCCGACGATCTGATCTGATACCATGTAAAGGGATGACGTATACCGTGTAAAGGCATTATATACTAGTATGCCCAAAATATTTAACTTTTTGGATATCTTCCACTTTCTCCAGACACTCTTTTGACCGCTTCGGTATATAAACAAGGAGTATAAAGATATATTATAGATTTTGATGTAAAAAACGAAAGCTGTGAAATATTACATTATATATTTGACTGAATTCTTAGTTATTGAACATTTTAAACGTTTTGTTTTATATTTTGGCAAAAAATGATTTTAATAATAAAAATGATTTTTATTCCAATTGGTTATAGAGATATGGCCATTTTTAATTTTTTTAGGTGTTAACCCTATTCATTTGGACGGGAGTGTGTGTACACATGACTATAGATTTATATAATTTCGAAAGACGCACTAATTAAAGCTTTTCGTTAGAATTAGCTTGGATAGAGCGTAATTGCAATATGCATGCACTTATAAATTTATAAAGATATGAATCTCTAAGTTCTGCCAGACTCCAAAAATATGTTCTGCTTGCAAAAGTCAAGGATTTTATCGCTTCTGCTCATCAAGAACAATAAGACATCTCGTAATACAATTATAATACCCTCTGCAAGGTTAAAAAAACTCGATATTACGTTAATTTAGCTTTAAATATTACTTTTATTGCATCAACTCACACAATATATATGTTTGTCGGGCTTTTATTTAAATGTGTGAGTCAACAAATTTATCGTTGGAAAATCTATAGTGTAGACGTGGCAGTAACGTTAATTTGAACAGATCTATGCTGTACATACTCCTATACGTACCATTTGTTCGACATGCCTTATACAAGTGATTGGTTTGACATACCCTATATTTTCATCAATTTACCCAAATAGTACTTATATAGGTATGTTCAAAAGCGTGGATCCAACTTTACGACTTAAACACGATCTATGTGTACAAACATGCGGTAATAGGTGACACATTTTCAACTTAAGTCGATAAGATAGCCCTGCGAGGAGGTTGTTCAAAGCTGGCAAACACAATATGCCAGCACAAATGCCTGTCGTGCGATAAGGGAATTAAACACACTTTGAAAGCGTTGCATGAATTTGTGGGGAGGAGCTGAAAATTGATTCGGTAGCCAATTTGTTGTCTCATAAATCAGCATATGACTTTTAATACCCTTTTCGGACCTTTCCTTCTTATTGTTACAGGAAAAAGCTTTACGCTGACAATTACCGTTGCAACAAGCCCGCCACAAGTGGCCACCTATGCCAAAGCCATCAAAGTGACCGTCGACGGTCCAAGGGAACCGCGCTCCAAGACGAGTAAGTAGCCAACATCAGCAGTACCAATTATAACAGCACCAAGCACCATTTTCTCCAGCACTATTGCGAATAAATGTCTAAAGATCTAAAGATACTCGCCACCCGCTGAGTTTTAGGTTGGATTATGCGGCCGAAAAGGAACACGAAGTCATATTGGGACTGGGCCGGGTACTGGGCACGAACCTAAGGCCGCATTAAACAAGTGTCTAATTAATGTAAATAGCTTAGCCATATCGGTCAATTGCACACAATGGTAATCGCTCATAATCCCCGTGGAACACCTTCTGCGTTCCTTGTGCCGTCTGCTGTCTGCTTTCTTTCTGCCGTCAACATATTTTCAAAATATTTTCGTCAGATTGACTTGAAAATTGCTCGCTGGGCAGATCGTGTAACAGAGTTCGGCCATTTTGTTGTTCCTTTACCTTTAGGGAAGGTGTTTGAAAAGTGCAGCCGGTTTGCCTGCACAGATGGACAGACGGACAAACGGAGAGACGGACAGGCGTATTGCAGCGTGAGCTCAACTTAACACAACTCAACTCAACTGAACTGAAATGAACTGCATTGCTTCCTACGGTTTCTGAAAATTTTGCGGTTTTCAAAGAAAACCTTTTTGCAAAGCCGGCAACGTTGTCGTATTGAGTTTATTAGTTCGTGTAATGCATATACGAGTATGCATTAATTTTTTTCTTATATTTTAATATTTTTTTTGTTAATGCATTTTTAGGTCTTCGCTGCAATATCTACTCTACATACGACTATACTTAAGTATACAGTATTGTATAGGTACATATAAAATATGCTGCGGCATTACTTCACCTTGAGTATGCGCTCGCAGAAGAAGAAGAGCAGCAGTGCAAAACTTGTACGAATATATGTACGAACGAACAATCAGCCGGGGAAGTTGGGGAATTCAGGACTTGTGTCAAAAAAGTGATATGGCCTTGCAAAACTGAGGAACTGAGCTTGTAGCTATGCTTCTTCTTAAAACACCATAAAAAATTAATTCTAAAATATCTTATTTCTTGTTAAGAAATAATTAAGGCTTACAGCTGACATTTTAATGTGTGTGTGTGTACCGGAAATCTAGGCTAAACCTTCTAAAATATGGTTCTCTCTTTAGTTTTTGGGTGGAGTGGGAGACGTAACTTTCATAAAACGAATATTCTGGATCTGTGTATATTATTCAAGACCCTATATAACTATAGTTGCTATCTCTTGATCTATATTTTACGAGATATAGTCAACACACAGGAGGTCATTATCAATTTGAGAGTAGCGCGTTCAATAAGACGGTCAATGAACAGACAGACTGGAATGTCTACTCGAATACAGGATATGAACATATATATTTTATAGGATCGGAGAAGCTTGCTTTTACCTACCAAATCTCACTTATCCCCTATTACCCACATGCAATAAAAACCACACTACTTCAAGGGAGAATATTAAAACCCCATTGCAGCATAGTTATCAAATACCACTAGAAAAAGTTAATACACTAAAGAATTTGTAAGAAAGGAAGGTTAGTAAAGCAACTAAGTACATTTTATGTTCTAGTTGTCAAATGTCTTTATAGAGAGACGGACAAGACAGCCCATAACTGTTGCTCATTTAATATTAGATTATAGAGAATGATTTGCCTACAATGCGACTCGATTGCTTGATTTCAGCACAATTCTAATGCCAAGCTCACATTACTATAACTCTTTACAGGCCCACCCGGCGGTCCCCAATATCGAGCACTCGGCCTCGGCCAGCGACCATTCATTGATAGTTTCCCCAAAACTTTTCACGAACTGGAAACGCTGCGTCGCTCCGCGAAGGTTGCGGCAGCCACGACGGCGGCGGCGGCTGCTGCGGTGTCGGTTGCATCGGCAGGCAACACGCTGACCACAAACGCAAGTATTGCCCAGCAATTGGGTAGCAATTACTCATCGTCAAATAGTACAATAAATTCGGATTGCCAGGGCTACAAGCCTAATGCCCCACAAATTCAAGGTAAGTTACATGAGCAGAACAGCTACCAACTACCCCATTCCACTGCATCTTTTCCACTGTCGAGAAATTTCTTTTAATGAAGTAACGAGTCTTAATGACGCCTGCATTTGCTTCCGCGCCAATCCAAACTGTGTGTGTATGTGTATCTGTGTACGTGTGTATTTGTTAGAATGGTCAAGAACTTGGGCGATTCGACCAGGCACCAGGCGGCCTAAACCTTTTAATTGAGTTAATGAACGGCCGATGCCGCATATCGGTCTCAGTCTCGATGTATTTTTAGTATTTATTACTTATCTCTTAACATTATGACGCTAATTTATTTATTTTCTTCCACAAAGCTTAAAAATAGTTCAAATCCGCTGAAGTCGATCATTGTCGTTGGGGCCTCGCGCTTTTTCATTTATTAATCATAGCCGCATAGTTCAAGTCTTCGGTCTTCGGTCTTCTGTTATCATGTGCTTATGTGAAATGCTTTTGTCTAAGCTTTATAGATACACTAGCAAATATTGCCCGGCATTGCCCATGTCATGCATGATGTGCATAAGGTAAAAGCTTTGGCCTTCTCACTTTCAACAATAGTTGTCCCTTAAATGCGGAGTATTAAAACTCCCTGCTCCCAACATTCCATCTCCCTAACTAATATATATTGTATTTACTGTACTCAATAAAAATATACCAAAGATGATATAATGAAGTTGTCCAATTTGTGAAACCGACAAAAATACATCACTGATCCCATATGGAATAAATTTCCATATGTTTCTTTAGAATAAATACGTCAAATTGTTCGATTACTCTTCCCGCAGGTCTTAAATTGATCATTTTCGATTTCAACTACCGATTTTATTAACAATATTTTGGTTTCAGCTGCAGGTATGCAGGTTCTCGTATAGCAAGGATTATATTTAGTGAAACACTATTTTTCAATTGGTTTTAGGTTAATTTGTAGCATAAATGGTCGAATCCAGATAGATATAGGCTATTTTTTTAAATATAAATATAATCACCAACAAGGCATAGTCAACAAAAGATGAATAGTTCTTTGGACTCTAGGATTGCAAACGGACTGTGCCTTGTCGAAGCCTTAACCATTTGCGATTTGCAAACGTCAACTAAAGCCTGCATCCATTTACTGTGTGTTTAACCCTGGGGTTCTCATGCTGTATTAAAGAAATATCTTCTCCTTTTTAACTTAATAGCGGCCATGTGCATATGTGTGTTTACAAAAATATTATATATTTGTTGTTTTATAGCTAAAACCAGGTATTTCAACAAAATAACGGCATATCTATGTGCTAGTTCTGTCTGCCTTACCAGTTAATTGAAGTATATAGTTTTTGGGATCGAGTCGCTAATGTATATATAAAACGATATGTTTGGATTTTGAGGAATACAATACAGTAAAAACTCTTCTAGCGGTCACTCCTATTACACTCTGATTGGGTTGACATTGTCCAGTATGAACACTCCTCTTGAACGGAAAAATATTACCCAATAGTAGCTGTCCACTCATGTGGCAGAAAAATATTATAATCTTTGAAACGGATGAGAGTTATCTACCTGTGAAAAATTGAGCATACTTTTAGTAGGTCAAGTTTGGAGAGGCCAAAAATGAAGTTTGTGCGGACAGATGAACATATAGGCAGACAACCTTATAAAACGAATATACTCTTCTGCACTGTGGAACAGGGTATTACCGACAAAGGCCTAAATCAAGCTAAGGCCTGTTGTGTGTTAATTTGTGGGCATGTATTTGTGTTTGGATCTGAGTACAGGGTATGCAAATTATTTGCGTTTAGACTTGAAAAAGAAGCGAAATTAATGGTGCTTAACAGATGTTGGGCAACTGTGAACTGGCCCGGGGACAGGCACGAGCACCAGCACGGGCACTGGTTATGGGAATGGGACTGAGTCACTGGCTTATGAGTCAGGGCTAGTTTGGTCACTGATGAAACTAGACGAATCTGAAGCAGAAACTCTGATACAGAGACTAAGTGTTGCTTATGCTAATTAATTTATTAATTTTGCATTTTCTGTTGTCTGATTGCGTTGCTGCCTCTAGAAGAGTCGCGGACTCAGTCGCGGCTCATCGAACTGTCCAATTACAATACACATACAATCGTATGTGTGTATGATATGAATAAAATGACACATCGTCGACATCGTCGACGTGTGTTAATTGTCCAAAAGCAATAACAACTCATACCTATAACAACAATCCACAGGCATTTGGCAGTGCAATCGATTTCGTTGTGGCTGTATGTTTGGTTTCTAAAATAAGCAAAAACCGGAAATGCCCCAAGCGTAGACTCGAAATCCCACAGCGCGTGTTTGGGCAACGTTTTGGTCGTTCATATATACATGCAAATATATATAAACAAATTTTTGTTGTTGTTGTAGCTGCTGTTGCTGTTAAAAAGCTAAGCCATTAATATTTAAATGTGGCGCTTAAATTGTTAATTTACGCAAAATAACAACTTGACAAAAAAACGTTGCGCTTTATTTTAATTTTTAGCGGAAATCATGGGGAAATTCCAAAAAGCCCACAGACCGCAAGTTATCGGAATTGAAAATGACGAATTAAAATAGATCAAACTACCTTGGACATTAATGCCTAGAGTTTCTGATTGTACTGATGTTATTATACAGAGTATGCAAGAAAAACATAAACTGAAGCTGATCCAAAGTCTGAGGAAAAAATGTCAAGTCTTGTATGCTCAGCCGCTCTTAACTTAATTCGTTCGAAATCCTTTTATTTTTGATTGCCTCAAATTATAGTTTCATGCTGCAGCAAGAGCGCGTGCAGTATGTAAATCCACATCTGTTAGGATTTTAAGATCGGTGAGCAGCGCGGCGATGTGAGGTAGCCCTTCTGTGGAGCTTTTTTACCGAGTCTGTGAGCTCAAGCCACAAATCAATCCAAATGCGGTTGCGCAGCTGTTGCTACGGGCGCGACAACGGCAACGGCAACAGCAACTACATCCAACATTGAAATGCAAGCTGCAAGATGCATCCAGAAATGCGTGCCGTGTGTGCCGGGTAACAGTAAAAGCAACAGCAACAGCACCGGCAGCAGCAACAGCAGCAGCAGCAGCAACAACAACAAAAATGTCAACCATCGCACATTGAAATGAAATCTTTTTGGCCCATAAAACGCCAACTGTGGCCAAGTTGGTCCGCCACCAAAACCCAAACCCAAACCCAAGCCCAAACCGCAAACTCACTTCCGTTTCGTGCCGTTTGCTGTTTACAACAACGCTCCACAGCAAAGTTGTTGCTATTTTTTAACCGTCCGCCATTTTGCAAGCCCGAAAAAAAAAAACATTTGAGCCGAAGAGGAGGCAAAGAAGCGGCTGGAGTTGAGGCACTTTAATTAACAGCAATGGTACTTGTACCGCTAGGCGACTGTAGCTTGTACTTGGAGCTGCTCGTTGGCAGCCAGTCCTTAATGAGCTCCAAGATGGCGACGGCGACGGCGACGGCGAAGGCAGCGAGAACGCATACGAAAGCTGTGAGAACCTGGAATGGGGTCGCTGCCGCTCCAGTGGCAGAGCTTTAACTTATGCTCAATGCCCTGCTGCCGGCGATTATTGGCCAGCTGTGGTTTTCTTACAATCAGCTCTGTCGATGATACGCAGAGTCTCTTCCTCTTCCTTACGCTTGATTGCACGCCAAGCGGATATGGAATATGACCAGAGAAAATCGAAGATATCCGGCCAGTGGAGGCAATGAGAGTTGCGAGTTTTGTGCATTGCTCACACATCTTACGTCCCCCCCGCCCTCCCCCATCACTCCCTGCTCTCCACAAAAATGATCTTCAAATGCATAAGCTTTCCCAGCTTCAACCGATTAATACTGGACAATTAATAAACAATTCTTATGGATTACTTTAAACATATACTCGCATATACATATTTGTTCCAAACTATTCAAATTTAGGAGACAGGCTAGTCGCAAATATCTTCTAAGATTAGCTCGGCCTAAATATAAATTGCTAAGGCTAGAGATTCATTTGCTTATGGGTTACAGTCCTGGATTCACGAGAGTTTTCTACTGGTGCACTAAGTAAAACTAAAGTCAAAATACTAGGATAGACCACTGATCTCCCCTTTAAAGATCGACGATGTTTGGCTACACCCACAACGTTTCGCCCCTAAATCGCGAAATCTATGTCATTCACAGTTTGAGTAATCAAATTCGGAATAACTCGACTGATGAGCTCCTCTGCAGATCGGTCCAAAAACACTTTGCCTAAGCCTCTCTTAATCGCTTTAGAACATCAAATGTAATGCATCCTGTGGGGGTACCTGGGAGTACCTGGGAGTACCAGCAATCGCCAATTTTGATATTTGTTTATATTTGATTTCTTTGCAAAACAAAAACACAGAAATGGAAAATGCAAGTAAATAAATAAGAAATATGTCTTTTTTTAATTAATTCAAACTGAATATTTAACTCTTCTGCAATCGAGTTGAAACAATTAAGATGGAGAAAAGTTAATATAAGTAACAAGAACAGTAATGAGTTTCTCAGCAAGTTTGCTTATTTTTATGGACAATGTTGGAACGTTGCGTATATTATAACTGCCCGATGTGAAGACCCTGGGTAAGATCTCAGAACTCAAATATGACACGTTTGATGTTTTTAAAATCGATTGTAATAGATTCTTATTAAAAAGATTCCATGGTGAATTTCCATCCATGGATTTAAAACTGGCGTGATTTGATCGCAAACAAATTGTGTACATTTGAAGTTTCAGCAATATTGATTTGACCTGGAATAAGCTGTGCGTTGATCATCAATCAGTCAGGATTAATGTAATTAGTTTTGGAGGAAACAGAGGGAGGTATCCAACAAATTAATAATCCTTCATTTGTTTAATCTTAACAAGAACCTGCAAAATTAGTACCTTGGTGCTATGGTTAAAAATATAGGAATGAAATTGTTTTGAAGAACCGCAAAAGGATTTCGAAAAATTTAAATACATATAATGGAACTGCAAATGGGCCGAGGCAATTAAACAGACGAATAGACAGACAAACAGATATGGCCAGACTGATATTGTTACTAATCAAAAGCATATATAGAAATTCTGCTTATTGTTACATTTTAATATCTAAGACCGCAATTACTCTTGAACTTCCGATTGGTGACCTCGACGCTAATGCTTTGCCTAAAGCTAAGTTCAAATTTGATATATTTCGTATCTGCATGTAGTATATGTAAACTAGTGTCGGGAAAGACTGACAAAAGTGGCATTGCGTATACGCAAGAAACCCTCAATTATAATCAATGCGAGTGACATTAATAAGAGAGTATAGCAAAAGTGCAAAGAGACTAAAATGTCTTTATTTCCCTATCCTCTGACGTTAGCTTGGGTTGAGTTCAAGTGGCACAAAATTCCACGTGCCCGGCCAAGAGACCCGACCAGGTCCCTTGCCCTTGCCAAAGCCATTATTCGCCCCTTTGGCTTTCATCCAGTCAGTTTCGCTTCATTGCATCCTCGCTAAGTTGCGGTAGTTGCGTTTTCTGATTACTCCTCGACTTGGTTTCAGCTTTTGCTACCGCTGCTGCTGTTGCTGTTGCAATGCAATTTTCGCCTTAATTGAAACAATAAAATGTGATAAGTGCTGGGTGAAAAGTTGCTCGTATGCAATTTTCTTGTCCCACCCCTTTCATTCCGGCGAGTATGCACATAAGAAGGGTATGGAATCGAAAATTGATGGGATAGCATAAGATATGAAGATGGAAGCCCTACCTGGAGTACAGGCTGGGAGGGATGGGTGCGGTTCATATGGTCAAATGGAACAAATCACACGTAGTTGGGGTTATTCTGGTATATTACTTATTTATATAACAAACTAATATGATTGTAACACATGTACAACAGAATAATCGCACTCCGCTACGAATTTGTTTAAGAAAGGTTTCTTTATTAAATATTCCAAGTCAAGTGAATACTTTCTGTTAAAAGGTGTTGAACGATTGTAAACACATTTTCCTTTCGCTAAGCGACCTTTTTGTATGTCAATATCATTTTTATACCTCTGATACCATTAAGTATTTATAGTCTCGATCTGCTTTAAGTTCCAAGTCGTTCTAGCCATGTCTGTCTGTCTCTGCGTTAATGATTACGAACAAAGTCGATAGAGAGAGGGAAAGAGAGAAAAAAAATTTGTACGTAGCTGTTTATACTACTCGTTCAAATTTAAGCTGTTTCAAATTATCGAGAACTCAATCGTTTAATCGATCAAAATCGCTATCGAAGTCCTGTTTTTTAGACTTTTCTTGGAGCTTATAAGAGCTCAAGACCCCATATTATTATATAGATTTAGTATTTCAAATAGTATATACAAATCCAGAATATTTCCATCGATTCCGTCCAGAATTTAAAACAAATAAAACCATTTTTGAAGGATACGCTACATACTTCATGACAATATTATAATACGCAAGTGTAGGGTAAATAACGTTGCCTTCGGGCCTTGATGATTAATTAACGGACAGCGCACGTAAAATGATTTTCTGCCTTCGATAACAGCTGAGAGGCACAGGTCTATTCATACATACTTCTCGAAATCAGGTTTAGTTTCGAATATTGATTCATCACATTCTCTTTACCGATATGTTCAAATTGAATAGCTCATTTTTGTTAAAGTAAGTTTGAGTAAGTTTGAATGTTTGAAAGGGCGCTGACTAAAGGTAATCTCCAAGATAAACATTTCCGTCTAGAGCACTCTTACTTGATTTAACTAAAAATACCTTATGTGATTTAAGTGCATACAAAGACTGGGTTTTGATAATCCACCTAAAAGTGTGAAGAATAGTTATACGACACATGTTTGCGTATGATCCAACCAATCACCCCCCACAGTCGGGCAAAACAGGATAAAGACAGCCATTGGGTGCATATGATATAGTCAAATCACCATCAAACACAATGGCCTCAAAAGAAGCTTTAAGATTTTAATTGTAAGGTGTAATCATTATTTATTTTCTTTCAGTGTATTAGTCTGTGTTATTTACGTAATAATTAGTATAGTCGTTTTACCTGGCGCCACGTTGACTTGCGCTTTGCTTCTAATAAATTTGATTAATTAAAAGGCATTTTTGGTCCTGCTCTTGGTATACCATCTTGGAGCCCTGTGCAGGCATATACGATGCTTCCTCTTTTGTTTCTGGTGCTGTTCCCGGGCCCGCTGGCTTACATAATTAATCAAAATATGCGCGCGACGTTCTGTCAAACATCGACGATGAGGCAAGGGGATGGGATGGGACGGCGACGTCCCGCTGTTGTCGTAGTTGCCCGAGGCATGCCTTGGAATTTTCTTTTGCTCTGCCAATTTGTTAAACCCTTGCCGGGAGAAACCATGACGGGGGATGAGGTGGATGAGGGTGGAGGGCGTACACACACGTGGGTCTCGTCGGCGCATATGAAATTATTTTTCAATTATCCATTCCGCCTGTTGTCTGCCACGCCCAAGCATGTTTGTGACAAGTGCAGCTGTACGTGGGATGAGATCGGACTGAGGACTGGAGACGATGCTCATAAATTGACTTTTTGTCTATTGACTTTGTTTAACTGATTCTCTATCCATCTCTCAATATTTTCACTTTTTTCTAACTGTCAATTTGCAGAAACCGATCTGATAGGCGCCGCTGAATGGACGGGCTCGGCCAGCTCTGCTGCTAACGTGGCCTACCCAGTAGGAGTTGGTGTGGGTGTTCCCTATCATCATGCGCACCACAGCCACACCCACTCGCACACACACAACCACTCGGCGCATCACCACCACGCGCACCACTTACAACACCAAGTGGCGTTGCCGCCACCACCACCGCCGCCGGCCGCAGCGCCGGTGCCGGTGCCGGTAGCCACCGCATCGGCCATGAATCACTACAGCAGCGCTATGGGAGGTTATGATACAACTACGCTGGACGCGGGCAATTATCATATATCCTCGGTGCTTCCAGATATGCATGGATTTTCCGCAGATCCGTATCAGACGGCCGCTGCAAGCGGGTATTGCGGTACCAGCTCCAAGTCAGATCTGGAATCAATTAACGCCAGCTATGGCGCGACGCCAGCTGCCTACAATAATCCAGCGGCCTGGTCCAATGGTTATAATAACTACCAGTACGGCAGCTGCTCGGCGACGGCAGCACAATACGGCGGAGCTGGTGCACATGCAACGGCGCCACCGCCGCCGGTGGTTCTGTATCCACAGCTTTACTCAACTGTTAACCAGAACCAGATACATCTGCATCTTCACAGCAGTGAGAAGCTGGAACAGTACCTGGCCACAGACCAGCAATTGACTATCAGCTCACTGGCCAGCAATCGTTCTAGCATAGAGATCGGATTGGGCACTGGCGTCTGTGGCGGCGGCGGCGGCAGCAGCGTAAGCGGAGGTGTCGCCCTGGGCGAGCAGGACCAGCAGGCAGCAGTGTCGATTGCCGAGCAGGCAGCGGAAGGTGCCTCCCAAAACTATCACTTGCATCACCATCACCATCCCCACGAGACGCAGCGGCAGATGGAGGCACAACAGCAGCATCAGAGCGACGTTAGCAACGAGGCGGCACGGGAAGAGGATGTTGGCGATATGACGCAAGTCTGGCGTCCCTATTGACCCAACCTTATTCTAGCGCCTCTCCAAAGAACACGCGCCTTTCTGCACATAGAACTGAACTAAAACAAAACGAAATTTGTGCGTGTACTCTTTTTCTTGCCTCTTTCAATTTACACTATAAACAAGCATATACATATTAATATAATACATAATAGAATATAGTGTTTTTTTTTTTTTTTTTTTTTTATTTTTGCCTTCTGTGTGAAACTTTTACAACTTTAAGAACTGTAAATAATTCCCATAATACTATATGTAATAATTGTACGCATTGGTATTGCACATTAACCATTTATATTATATACTTAGCATGTACAACCACTTTTGTATGTATGTATGTATGTATGTATACGCCCTATCGATGAGTAAGAACACAACAAAGAATAAGGTTTTTTTTTTTAATAGGCTTAAGTCTAGATTAGTTGCGTCATATAAAAAAATATGTCGCGATTTTTGTTATTTTGTTTGAAATTCGAATATCAAAATCGTTATAGGAAAGAATGAAGACTATTAATAAAGTTATTGTATTTATTTAAAATTAATAATAGTTGGTAGAGTTCCTCAGCAACAGCTAGGCACGGCAAACCTCGTATAGATCGCCATCATGGCGCTCAGGCAAAACCACGCCCATTTTACATATGCATATGTACTATCGTATCGTATATGTTAATACAAAATAAAATGGTAAATAGGAAAAGTGTGTAAATAATAATATTTTGTGATTATGCAAAAAAAAAACTAACCACAGTCAAATGAAATACAAAGAAAAAATACAGCAAAATAGTGGCAGCAACAATAACTACAGTTAATTATGCACATATATTAAAAACAACAACAGATCAACAGCAGAAAAAACCATCAACAACAACAATTGCGAAAATCATGAATTTTGAATGAAGCCTTAAGAGTGAGCGTAAATAAATTATGATTCGAGCATTGTAAGACCACCACACGAAAGAGAAATATCCCTCTCGCACACCCTCTCTTTCGATCTCTCTGTCTCGCGCTCTCTCTATCTCTCTTGTGCCATCTTACCTTGTTAGATTTGGGCTTCCAACTACAATTCTTTGGATGGATGAGCCCTAGCTGCGCGACTCCGTCTTCGTCCCAGGCACTGCTCGTGGATCATGGGTCGTGCAAAGTTTTTGCGGTTTGCCATAGCATAAATAAATTGAACACCCCGCCGCGGTTACTACATCCAAAAGATGCAACCCCTCATCCCTCGTAGGTGCCCACAATACACGGCTGGCTGTAGTTGTTGTTTGCTTCTATATTGTTGTACCTAATACAACAAAAGCTGAGCTGCAAATCAAGCCGGTGCAGTCAATTGTTAAATTGCAAAAGGCAATGCCATTGTCGGCGTCAAAACTATGCGAAGCCCCCTGTATCGGATTAAGAAACTGTGGAAACTCTAGACTGTGCGAAAGCCCAATCCCAAGTACTCTTGCAGGCTGGCAGGCGTGCAGGCCAGCAGGCCTGGCAGCCTGGCTGCCGTCAAAGAAAGTAAGCCGAGCGTTAAAGACGCCGACGATCAGCCAGCAGCGATCGACGATCGACGTTCGATCGAAGCATGCGCCCCCAAAACGGCAACAAGAAGCCTGACACACGCCCCAAGAGTCACATCCAGCTGCAGACTCAGCTCCAGGTTGCCAGAACGTGTACGTAAGTGATCTGGCTGATCGTCAGTTTCATCGCTTGTCGCTTATACGAGTGCCCGAGTACATTCAATCAGCTTGCGGTGGTGGCGACACAAGGCTAACAGAACTTTGTCAGCAGTTTATGATGAGCGACTTGAATTACCATCCAAGAACTTCGAGTGGTCCAGCCCCAGCACTAGGCTATTGTTGCCGGTGGCTAATTAACTTTCGCCATGTACTTGGAGTCTACTACGAGCGGCTCATTCAATACGTTGCCAGTCATTCAGTCACTCAGTCATTCACTCAGTCAATCAGTCAGTCAGCCAGTCAGCTAAGCTTGAACCGGACCAGTTGCCCGCCATCCGTCGCCCGTCGCCCGTAGCCCGTCGCCCGTAGCCCGTCGCCCGTCGCTACTAGCTACTGTGTTGTTGAAGTATATGGTCTCCAACTGGGTGGTCCCGTCAGAATTTTGAACACAAATCGCTACTTATATGCACCCATATATCAACATACATACGAACATGTATTGATGTTCTTTAGGCAAAAGCCTTGCAGAAATAGTAAAAGTTCTGGCAAAGCATTGCATATTTGTGCGAAGTATTCCGAAATTAATTAGGCTATCGCAAGACAAACATAATAAGAACAATTTAACACACTAACAAATCGATGACCAATTAGAAAAGCGCCCAGAAAAAGGCGTCAGCCATATTACCTATTGCAGTCGACTGCGCAATACTCTGTTCAAGGCGTAAAAACAACTTAAATAAATCAAAAAGAATTTCCTAAGCAGTCACTGCTATCGGTTGTATTCCCAGTCGGCCAATGCCGGCTAGCGTACTCTAACTTGTTTTAAACTCTTAAGCACTTAAATTAATGAAGTCTAGCCTTAAAATCTAGAAAGGACAGCAAATACCTTAAACGTGAAAGTCGGCGACACAAGCTCAGACCAATAGACCCTCATCATGCCGCGGGAGGTGCTGATTGTGGGCCTCTGTCAAACCCGAGGGGACCCGAGGCAAGCTTAAAAGCTATTTCAAATGTACATTATGCAGCTATAGACATATGAGTAATAAACGTTGGGAAGAATGATTGGCCATCCTGCCCGATCATATTATTGTTATATAATGAGTCTACTGAGGCTCTAGCCAAGTCAACCGTCAAAGTGTACCGCTCAGACTCGATTAACGGTAAGCCAGGCGCTCAGGAGCCTCAGCTAGAGGATAATAAGCAGCTGATCACACAAAGCCATTCTGATGTCAAACTGGGGGACATCTTCGCGGGCATCTGTCGCACCGATAGCGACAATACCTGAAGCTGAAGCTTAAGCCCGTTAGGCTTAGCTCCAGGCACATGGCTAAGATCATAAGGACTCCCTGAAGAAACAGCATTTTACAGCCTCATAGCTAACATCAAGGCCAATAACATTGACACCCTCTTTTTACTCTTCAACTAAAACTATAGATAAATTGAAACTGTCTTTCTTTTATTCCTCCCTAGCACCTTTGGAGGCCAATAAAAGTACTCTCGATAGCCTTGGTTATCTATGTAACCACGCTGCTCACGCCGATGACAGTTTCTGTGTGCCTATTGGTCTTTTATCTGTCAGCGAAGTCAGAAGCGCAATCCATGGTCTGAAGTCTTACAAGCCCCCGGGTCCAGACAATTAAATAGTCGGCAAATTCACCACGCTGGAAATATCGCCATCAAATGACCATATTTCCAAAGACATGGGTTGAATTTTGGTTTTCAACCCTAAGATGTGGACACCTCTCACACTATTGTCTTTGACTATTAAACATCTAAAAATGATTATCGAACTAAAATGTTGTCCTTCTCAATAAAAAGATAGGTGACGTAAAAAACTCTATGAAGTTCCACCAGGTAAACAGAAAACACGACGACAATCCAAGCCTCTCTGTGGATGCAGGCATTGTTTAAACTAGAAATAGCCGAAAGAAAATAAGGTATTCGTCCTTGCCTACCATACTATTTATTTATTTACTTATATAAAATAATCATATAGTTAAAACTAGATGATAAGTGAATAGGGCCTTGACCTGGACAAAAGTAATAACTTAAATGTGCCTACCATACTTACTTTGTTTAGATATATTAAAAACAAACAAGTTTATTTTCAACCGATCATTCCTATTTATAATTTATGATGCCGTCAATCCGACCGAGTCCGACATTTATACTGCTTGCATAGAAAGGAAACGGCTAAATGATTGATTTAAGATTTTCTGGATCTAATCTCTTATTTTAATGTGACGTTTTTCTTGGGCTTTACTGTGTGCCAATGGACGCAGGGCAGGTCTGGCCGTCTCAGGTTTCATCATCTCCGAGAACAGACTCTTATTTGGTAGCGCAGATTTGCATATCTTCTACATATTTTACTTTGGCCTTGATCAAATATGGGAACCTTTTTTTTTTAACTTACACCAGTTTCTTGTTCTGTTTTGTGCCTCCTTGTGCAGTCCCTGTAAAAGTCCTTGCGGTTGGAAACTGAAAAATACCGGTGAGTAAGTGGATTCCAACATATATGACATCAGGGAGCTGCTGATCCAATTAAATTGTAATTGTTGGTTAACTTTGTATATATATTATAATGAGTGCCAATGAAAATATCTAGTAGTTCGAAATAGTTTTCAGAAATGGTTGTATATCTTTAAAAATAAGTATTGAGTATATTTTCTACAGTTTAAAGTTCCTTATTCGATTCATCCAATACCAGTTTTATGCTATAGCAGACGGATTTTATTTAATGTTTATGAATATTTTGTATGGCAATAGGACAGCTCTTCGTGCGAATCAATAATACATATGTATATGCCTACTGTTCAATATTATTTATTGATTATATTTATACCGGTCCATGTAGTCTGTGTAACTAACAAAATATTTCCTTATTCAAAAATATTTTACTTAATGCATTAGCCGAATTGAAAAAGTGTGTTTGCTAAATTTGAGCGGGAAGGCTCGGGAGCTATACAACACTTTAAATAAATAAGACTGCATAATTTTGTGTTATATGTTGTCGTATAGCGTATAACAAAACGCAATAAGCATGCCAAAATAATGGCAAAAAAGTGTGTGCCGTCTCTCTCGCTCTGGTAAGTGCAACATAATCTGTGTCTGTGACAGAAAGTGGAACTAGACGCCAAATGATTCCACAATCAACTGAATAAGAACACAAAACCAAAATAAAATGCTGCCTGCAATCAAAAACAACAAAGCACAGACAAAAGTCAAGCTCCACCCACAAAAGTGTGCTGCAGTGCAAACAAAAACCGAAAAACAAATATTTTTCAACACCTACAATAAGCCAGCAGCGGCAACAGCAGCAGCAGCAGCAGCAGCAGCGGC